ACACAATTACATTAGATAAATATGGTATGATAACTTGATGACCAAGTAACTGGGTCTCTATCTTCTAGATAGATAACATTATCAGGAGATATATACTCATACATCCATAATGATGTTTATCAATATGAACCCGAAATATCCATATCTTAACATTCCCCTACATCCATAATGATGTTTATCAATATGAACCCGAAATATCCATATCTTAACATTCCCCTTCAAACTCATGATGTTTTGACACAAAGCAGCAGGAGTTTAAACAATACTAAGTTGTCAAAAAAAAAAAACGAGAAGTGATCAAATCAATGATAAATTTCACAGGTTACTATGTTCATCCAAAAAACAATATTTATTGAGCTTTCTACTTTCTTCTGAAGACTTTTTCTCTTTTACTTTCTTCTTGAGACTTCCAAGAAACAACATTTTTTGGGCTCTCTACTTTCTTCTAGTTACAATAGTCTTCCAAGAAACAACTATTATTAGGCTCGCTACTTTCTTCTAGAGACTTTCTCTCTCTAAAGTTTTCCAAGAAACAACCTTTTTTGGGCTCTCTACTTTCTTTTAGAGACTTGGGCTCTCAACTTTCTTTTAGAGACTTGGGCTCTCTACTTTCTTCTATAGTCTTTCTGTCTCTAGTGTTTTCTTCTAGAGACTTTATTTCTCTAGGGTTTTTTTCTTTGAAGATCTTCTCTCTCAGAAGCTTTTTTTATTTTTAGAGGCTTTCTTTCTCTGAAAGAAAATAATCTTTCTTTCTCTCTTCTTCGAAACATCTGAGATCGAGTAACGAAAAATATAACTATCATCACACAGGATGGAACAATGAAAAACTCTATCATCTAACAGGACTAAGTAACGGAAAACTCAATCATCAAACAAGATCAAGTAACGGAAAACTTGATCATCAACCAGAATCAAGAAATTCGATCATCAAAAGGGATGGAATAACGAAAAACTCATCATTAAATGGGTTCAAGTAACGAAAAACTTGATCATCAACCATGATTGAGAAATTCGATCATCAAACGGGATCATGTAACGAAAAACATGATCATCAACCAGAATCAAGAAATTTGATCATCAAACAGAATTACGACTTCCTTTTTTTTTTCTTTTTTTTTTTAGAGAACCACCCTAAAACGAAGAGACTTTGGCACCAAACCCGTCCAGATGACAAAAACCTATTAATAGCTTGCAATAACTGCATAATTTTTACATCAAGATGGAGGTCTTCTCGGCCCTTTAGAAGATAGGTATACTTTTGACCATCAGAGCCTATAAGTCCCAACTTCTTAGGTTTGTCTTCGTCGACAAGATAGTCACTTGCACGCAAAAAGAAGATGTAGTAACAATGCCACGGAGCTCTGCTCTTTGATCATCATCAGAACTTGAGGGGTCTCTATCTCAAAAAAAGGGTTTCTCTCTTCTTTTCTCCCTCTATTTCTCTCTCTAAAGTATAAACAACACCATTTG